CTGCATGGATCCTGGTGTGGTGCAGCCCAGCCAGGCGAGGGCCTGACCCTCTCTGTGCCGTTCCTGTCCCAGAAAAGCCCTTCCACGTAGTTTCAAGAGGGAAAGCTGCGTTCTGGGTGGGCTTTAAGGAGCGTCACAGGGTGGCCAAGGTGCTCAAAGGGCCTTGATGTGATCCTTGCTCTGATCCCAGGCACAAATTCCGCCTCTGCTGAAGGCAGCAGTGCTGCCCTCTAATAAAGAGAGAAAATTTCCAATCCACGTACTCTTATTTCTTGGAATTATACAGCTACAAACCGAATTGCTTTCTGTATTCTACAGAATGAGCTGATCTTTCCTTTCCAACACAAACCATTCTATGATTCTCTGCCTTTTAAAAATCCCATTATTACCAGCACAGTGGCTGTAACCCAAGGCAACTTCTATGGTTTAATGATAAAACCTCAGAGTTGGAGACACATTATTTTATATTCCTTTGAATGTATTCCAGCTCCCAGCTACTACAGCTGTCAGCAAGGCAAAAGAGGCCTGACAATGCAGGGCAAAGCAACCTGTCATCCTTCAGAGCAGGAAACCAGCTCCTTCATCCCACACCTCGACTCACACAGGAGAGAGAACTTAAAGCAGAATTACCCCAAAGCAGAATTATTACAGCAAGGACGAGAAATGCTCTGCACCAACCTTGCACGTGGGCTTTCTATTTGTATTAACGAGAGCAAAAAGTGCAAATAAAAAGTGTTTCTGAGGAAAACAATATCCTCCTGTACATTGAAACACCCCACCTTTACTCTTATTTGACAAAAGCCACTTACTCAGAGCTCCTCAGCAGAAACTCTCCTCTCATTAACCAGGAAACAAATCTTTCTATCCCAGCACTGAGCAAACCTGACAAAGCCACGTTTTCCCCAGCGAGCCGAGCTGCCAGGCTCAGCTCTCCAGGGGCAGCCCCAGCCTCTGCCCGGATCCCTCGGAGCCCCCCGAAGCCGGGACCCCCCAGATCCCCCCAGATCCCCCCGGTGTGGGGGAGCTCACCTGGGAGCAGCAGGAGGAGCCCGAGCAGTGCCTGCACGGACGGGAGCAGCATCTCGGCTGGCTCGCAGGGGCTCTGGCCATCCCGGGAGGGAGCAGAGCGGCGATCCGCCTGCCTGGGCTGACTCTCACACGGCTTCCTGTTAAAGAATAGGAGGAAACGGGCTGAATCCACAGGGGAACTGTGTTTTTCTGCCCATTATGGCCGGGGAGGATGTGAGACATCACTCACCGGCGGCAGAGGAAACCTCGCCGGGCTTTGCCGGGGATTCGGCACCGAGGGATGCCCCGCTCTGGGCCTCAGCGGCTTCTTCACGGGGCTGGGGTTTTTGGGAGGGCTTTTGGGTGGGCTAGGATGTGCCCCAGGTCCCATCTCCCCCCACATCACCCTCCCTGGGGTAAGGGCGGCTGGAGGAGCCTCCCCGCCACCCGAGAAGGGATTTCTTACACATCCATGAGGAATTTCGGGATAAGTGCTCCTTGTGGGGCCGGGCTAGCTGAGCAGCTGGACCTGCCTGTGCCCCGTGCCTCCCTGGGCAGCTCCAGCGAGTCTGGGAGCTGGGACATGCCAGCTTTGGGATGGGGGATTTGGGATGAGGGATTTGGGATGGGGGCTCTGGGATGGGGGCTCTGGGATGAGGGATTTGGGATGGGGGCTTTGGGATGAGGGATTTGGGATGGGGGCTCTGGGATGAGGGATTTGGGATGGGGGCTCTGGGATGAGCGATTTGGGATGGGGGCTCTGGGATGGGGCATTTGGGATGGGGGATTTGGGATGGGGGATTTGGGATGCTCCTCTTCAGGCAGCACAGCCTCCCTCCCTGCAGGACACACAGCACATGCTGGGCTTGGACCTGCCCCATCCCCAGTTCTTCAGGAAGGGGAGGAACTGGAAAACTGGGCTGGTTCTGCCCCAATCCAGCCCAAGGAGTTCAGGGATTTGGTTTCTTGGCCCTGGGCTTGTGTTGTGCTGGTCTGTGCAGGTCCTGCCTGTCCCAGTGTGAGCTCTGGAGGTTCTGACTGATGCTGTGCTGGATGCCAGTGAATGTTTGCAGGAGGAGAAGTATTTTGGTGTTTCCCCACCTAGGAAAGGCTCCTGTGTCCTTCCTGGGGGGTCTGTGTTGGTGTTCAGGATGCAAGGCCAGAGGATTCTGTCTCCTGGTCTGAGGGGCTGGTCCAGCCCCCCAAAAGCCACAGAGCCTCAGCCAAAGGCAAAGGAGATTCTCCTTCACTGCATGGAGCACACCGAGGGTGTCCCACGCTGCCAGCAGGATCCTGGTTCCCACAGCTGGCAGACAGCAGCAGGACTGGAGGGAACCATCCCCTGGGCATGGCACAGCTCCTCACATTCCATAGGTCTCTTCCAACACCTCCAACCCCCCAGGAAAGCCAGCAGGCCCGAGGCTGGAGGCCTCCACAGCAGCCCTTGCTGGGACAAACCCCCTGCCAGCAGCCCTCCCATCCTTTTGTCCCTTGCACAGATGTGACGCTCAGAGATTATGCTGTAGATTAAGGTTTTACCGAATCCTGAAATGAGTGCAAATACCCAGAAGCTAACACGCAGTTAAATCTCTTCTGGATGCTCGGCTGGATGGTGGAAAAGGCTTTTCCCACCCTGTCCTCCCCACGTGCAGGAAGGACTGAGCCCAAATATTCACCCCAGCCTGTCTGCTGAGAGCCTGCAGGTAAGAGCAGTGGTGTTTTGGGGTGGAAGGATGGGAAGATGTGTTTTGTAATGGCTGAAACTCCGGGGGATCTGTATTTTCTGCTCTGTGATGTGCTGAAGGTCACTGCTGGGGCAGAGGGTGTGACACACTGCAGCCCGGGGGGATGTACCTGTGTGCAGGGCGTGTCAGGGGAGGGATGTGCCAGCCCTGACCTGGCACTGTGACCCCCAGCAGCTCACCCAATCCTTTATTGCTGAAAACACCTCCAAAATCATTGAGTCCAACCACTGAACCGGGGGCCCAAAGCATCCAGAGCTCTCCGTGGACTCAGCCCTCAGGCAGAATCTCCTCCTGCAGCAGCGGGACCCCGGCAGGGACAGTCACCCCCGGGCTGTGCCACCCCTGGCGACAGGGCCCTTCCACAAAGGGACTTTTCCCACCCATTCCTTCAGCACATTCCTTTTGCCCGCCCCGCCGGTGGCAGCAGGGAGGTTTCCCTCGCTTGTCCCGATCAAAGGGGCCCTTGTCCCGCAGCGGGGACAGCGGCGCTGATGTGGCAGCGGCGGGGGCGGGATGAGCGGGGCTCCCCCGGGTGCCCCGGGAGCCTCGGCGGGGCCGGGCCGGGCCGTGACGTGGCAACTTCCGAGGTGATTCCGGCTGCACCTTCCCCGAGGAGCCAGCCCGCAGCTCCTGCTCGCCCCGCCGGCAGCTGCCCAGCGCTGGAGATGATGATTCGCAGGCAGCAGGGACGCGCAGGTACCCCGTGGGGCTGGGAGGGCTCTCCTTCCTTCCTTCCTTCCATCCATCCTTCCTTCCATCCTTCCTTCCTTCCTTCCTTCCATCCTGCCTCCCCCGTGCTGGATCCCACGGGCCTTGGCTCTGGTGAGGTGGGTCCCCCCTGAGCTTCAGTTCTGGATCAGCACCGCGGGGCTGGGGCCAAACAGGGGAGGCACAGGGGACACGAGGGCCAGGAGCAGCGTCCAAAGGCGCCCAGGACAAGGACAGGCAGGGCATTGCCTCATCCTGCAAACCCCAGATGTCACCAAAATTCATCCTGTGCTGCGAGCCCGAGGGAGGGGACACCCACGGGATCATCCCGCTGCAGGAGCGGGCAGGAGCTGCGGGCTGGAGGGCAGGAGATGAGGGCAGATGATGAGAGATGTCACCCTCACCGTGTCACCCTCTGCCCGGTGCTCACCCCCCGTGTCCCCGTGCCAGGTGACCCCGCGGAGCCATGAACGCCTCTCTGCCCGGCAGCCAGCTGAGACAGCCCGAACCTCAGGACGTGGCCGCCTTCACTCCGGTCTCCATCGTCAAGAGCGTGACAAAGAAATCGGACGCGCTGCCCGTGATCTCGGCCATCGTGGTGGCGTTCGTGCTGCTGGCCGTGCTCATCATCCTGGCGGTGCACTACGGGCCCCAGCTGCGCACCGTGCAGATCACGCTGTACCACGAGCCCATGCCCCAGCTCATGGACAGCGTGCTCCTCACCCACTGGAGACAGCTGGATTCCCACGGGAAGCTGCCGGGCCGGGATCTGCCCGGCGTGGACTCGGCTGGGGTGATCTGCCACTGCTCCTGCAGCCGTCACCTTCCCCTTGGGAGCGCTGAGCCCAATGTCATCGAGATCACCTACCTGTGACACGGCCCTGGGCCACCTGGGCACCAGGCACGCGGCCCTCGGGAAAGGCTGGGATGGGATGGGATGTTCGTGGATCCCGGGACTCGCCGCTGCCCACACACGGAGGCTGCACCTCCCCAGAGCCGTGTCTGGCCCCAGGAACCCTCAGCCAGGAGATTCAGGGTCCCTGCAGTGTCCCTGGAAGCTGCATCACCCCAGAGCTGTTTCTGGCCCCAGGAACGCTCAGCCAGGAGGTTCAGGACCCATCAGTGGCCCCCAGAAGTCCAGCCCAGGGGTGCCACTGTCCCCCGGCAGGAGCTGGGTCCCAGCCCTGGCTCTGGGGCTGGCTCAGCCTATCTGGGACAGCTTTAGCATCTCTTCTGCCCTGGTTTTACCTGCCCCACACTGCCTGGGAGTGGCCAGCAGAGCTGCCTTGGTCCTTGCCACAGCTGCAGAGCTCTGGGGCTGTGCTCAGCCCCCGGCATTAGCTGGAAGTTGCATCACCTGGAATTGTTTTCCGGTGAAGATGTTTCCACACTCAGTGTCCTTGTGACACTGTTTCTATGGCACAGAGAAGCTTCCAGCCGCTCTTTGCCTCTCACCACAGCCCCTTTTCCCACAGTGGGGGGCTGGAACATCGTCCTGTCCCTGCCAGCCCCCCCAGCCCCTCGGGCAAACAGCCAGAGATGGGGGGAGAGGATGCAGCTCCTGGTTCTGTGTGGGGCGGTGCCAGGGACGGGGGACAGTGCGTCCTGTCCCCAGTGGAGGTGGGTGAGAGAGGAGCGGTGACACAGCAGAGGCCAGAGAGGTGATAATGGCACATCACAGCTGGCTGAACATCTGGAGGTGTTGGCACCAGAGAGGAAGCTCATGTGACTCTGGGCAGAGCCTGCAGCACCTCTGTGCAAAGGGATGGGGAGACCTGAGGTCACCCCCACTGTGTCACCTTCAGTGTGTCACCCTCACTGTGTCACCCTCACTGTGTCACCTTCAATGTGTCACCCTCACTGTGTCACCTTCAGTGTGTCACCCTCACTGTGTCACCCTCACTGTGTCACCCTCATTGTGTCACCTTCAATGTGTCACCCTCACTGTGTCACCTTCACTGTGTCCCCTCCCTGTCCCCATCCCTGGCTGCTGTCCCTAGGAGGGAGCGATGCTGGGGTTGCCATCTCTGGTGTTGAGGTGACACAGAGGGATCAGGGCAGGTGAAACCTGAGCCTTGCAGGCTCCTGGGGGTGTCAGAGCACGGTCCCTGTTCAGCCCTGGGGTCTCTGCTGCTGGAGATCTCTTCAGTCCCAGTTTCTCCTCCCGTGGGGGACTGCAGGATCTGCAGTGCCTGGGGAGGGAGCAGCCTCTGAGATCCCCCAGGATCAGCCCCACAAGTCAGGATACAGCTCCCACCTCTCCCAGTCTGGAAAAGCCAGGTCTGTGGCTGCCCTCAGGTCCTGGCACAGATCCCTGTGGGCACAGCTGGACAAGAGATGGCCTTTACCCGTTCCTGCAGGTGCTGGAGGGATTCTCAACATGGCAGATGCTCCAGGATCCCTCCTCTCACTTTTCCTGCCCTTTTCTTGCTTTAAAGCTGGGTAGTGGTTGGACTTGCTGAAAACTTTTTGTCTCCACAACAAAGATAATTTATATTACTTTTTTGGGACAGTTGTTTTCTGTTTTGAATTTGCTTCCATTTGTTTTCCAGGGCATTATCAGCTCTCCCACACCCATGGTAGAGGAGATAAGGACTGTCATTTCCATTGAAAATTGTGGAGTTCTGCTCCCCTTTCCATGTCAAAGAGGCCTTTGTTTGCAACGTGTGCATCCCTAACAGCACCCCTGAGATGATAATCCCCTCTAGGACTCGTCCTAATTAGGAAATCTTCTCTGGGAGGGTGGCAGGCCCTGGCACAGGGTGCCCAGAGCAGCTGGGGCTGCCCCTGGATCCCTGGCAGTGCCCAAGGCCAGGCTGGACAGGGCTGGAGCAGCCTGGGGTGCTGGGAGGTGTCCCTCCATGGCAGGGGTCGAATGGGATGGGCTTTAAGGTTCTTTCCAACCAAAAATGTTCCATGAACTCTTTAAATGACATCTGTGGGTTGTGGTCACCCCCACCAAGAGCTGGAGCTTGTGAGCATCACAAGATCTGTGCTGTGACACCCAGAGAGGCTGCACCCTCCTCTCGGGGACATCAGGCAGTGTCACCCGCCCAGGCTGGGACAGCAGAGTTGTCCCCAGCTTGTGTGGCTGTGTCATTCCTGCACAGTCCTGCTGCCCAGCACAAAGCCTTCAATTAGAGGAACAGGAGCTTTCCTGGCAGCTCCCTCTGAAGGACACCCACAGCAGGGAAACATCGTGTTTAGAGAGAAAAGATTAAAAACGTCTAAATATTAATAAAGAGCAAGACAAAATGGGTAATTATTGCTGGCACTTATTGATTTGCAGCCGCTGGGGACTCGTAAAGGTCTGATTTATGTCACAGTGTGCCGTGGCCCGGATCCATCACTTACCCTGTGCGGTACAGGGAAGCCAGCCCGGGTTGCTGTTCAGGTGTTTTGGGTTGTCAAACTGAAATCAAACCCAGCTGGCAGTGAAAGGTGCTGCCCATCCTGCTGGGTGCCCCCATCCTGCCAGCAGCCCCGTCCACACTCTGCAAAGATCCAGCACTGAAGCCTTGGGGAGTTCTTCCATGTCTTTCATTTGCAAACAGAAATTTAGATACAAGCTTTTGGAGCACAGGAAAGAAATTACTGTAAGACTTAGAATAGCAAATTAAATCATACAAGAGAGCGGCAATATGCTGCCAGCTTTCTCCTCCAGAAGGACATCAAGGGTTAGATCTCAACTCATTGCTTTCTCCCACACAATAAAACATCATTTTTACAGCTTCTCCTCATTTCTCTTTGACCAGCTCTCCCTCTCTGTGCTCACAGAATTGGTTTTTATAAAACACGTCAGGGTCCTGGAGCAGCAGAGCCGTGCATGACATTACCATAACATTATTCCTCTCTATTCAAACACCCAGCCTGGCCCAATTTACTTCACTTATAACTTTCTTCCCCTCCTTAATACTAATCCTTTTATGAGCACAGAGCAACAATAACTCTCCTTATCGTCCCCTCTGTGCAGTGCTCAAAACCAGTTTTTTTTTGCCTGGGGAAGCTTTCAGGAGCTGCTGCATCAATAATTAACACTGTCCTCATCAGGAATTGCCTGCACCCCCTTATATTTCCCTCCTAATTCAGGTGTTGCCTTGCAGGAGGGGGGACTCAGTTCAAACCCCCCCAGAGAAAGGACTGGGGGGTTACAGCGGGGTTTGGGGGGAGACTCTGCTTGTGATGCTGGAAAGTTGCCTAAAATCGTGTGAAACCCAGGGAAACACCCTAAAATCGTGTGAAACCCAGGGAAACACCCCAAAATCGTGTGAAACCCAGGGAAACACCCTAAAATCGTGTGAAACCCAGGGAAACACCCTAAAATCGTGTGAAACCCAGGGAAACACTCTAAAATCGTGTGAAACCCAGGGAAACATCCTAAAATCGTGTGAAACTGAGGGAAGAACCCTGAAAGTGTGCAAAACCGGGGGAAACACCC